TGCAGAACTGTGCAGAACTGTGCAGAACTGTGCAGAACTGTGCAGAACTGAGCAGAACTGTGCAGAACTGTGCAGAACTGAGCAGAACTGAGTAGAACTGAGCAGAACTGAGCAGAACTGAGCAGAACTGAGTAGAACTGAGCAGAACTGAGCAGAACTGTGCAGAACTGTGCAGAACTGAGCAGAACTGTGCAGAACTGTGCAGAACTGAGCAGAACTGAGCAGAACTGTGCAGTCAGAGCCCTGCCCCTCTGGTCACCAGGCTGGGTTTCTCTGGGGAACCAGTAACAGGTTGTTCATTAAGTAATTTGTGTAATGCTTGACTGAGAAGCAGTGTACATTTGCAGGCCTAAAATCACATGCAGGCGTGGAATCCCATCCAGAATCAGCACAATAGTATATTTAGTCTTCAGCTGCAGAGAACTGCAAGGAACATTTCCTGAGCCTCTCAGCCCATCAGTCATGCTTGTTCAAATAAAGCAGTAAGTTTGTTTCCCTGCTAGTTACTGACCCCAAAGCCATGAGTAAGGGATCCTGAATAATGTGTAAAGGCTGTAACTGGTTCAGAAAACCTTTAATTGGCTAATTAAAAAGAGTCCTATGAGGGGCTGCAGAGAATCACCCCAAATGTTCCTAATGCAGACTGACGTTTTGATTTCCCCCATTTGAAGCAGGGCTTCGGTACGATCGCAGTTTGAGTTAGGAAGGGTAGAATTACCTTCTTCCAACAACTCATTCATTCCCCCAAAGAGTGCTGACACAATCAGATCTCTCATCGGGGTTTAATGCTAAGTCTCACAGCCCTGAAGCAGCACAAAAATCTCTATTTCCTGAACATTTCACTGACCTGTGGTGTTAAAGACTTGCCAACTAAGACAAACCATTAAATGAGCAGGGAACCACAACAGTAAAAATATTGCATGAAGCAGCCATGCCTGGTAAGGCCTCAGGGTCTAAATCCAAGAATATTTTATCATCTTGAGAGCAAGCGCTGCCCTTTCCAGAGGCAGGGATTGAATTCCCTGCGGTGGAGGCACAGTTTGAAAGGCACCACACACACAGACCTGGCTCTGGGTTCCTCAGTGATCCTTTGCAGCTTTCTCTCCTGCCCATTGCTCAGGCAGGTTTAATTCTATGCAATAAGCAGCTATCTGCACTTGTAGACTTTGGATTAAATTATTAATCAAGCTGGGGTTGACTCTTCTGTGTTTCCAAGCAGGAGCTGTTTGTCCCGTTTGTGGCATGACAGAATTACGGGGTAATTAAGGCCAGAAGGGATCTCTGGAAGGTTCAGCACAACCTCCTGCTCAAAGCTGAACACATTTCTGGTGCCAGGCACCTCCTGGGCTCCAGGGAAGGGCCTTTGGTGTGACAGGGTTTGTGCTGCGCTGTCACATCAGCCTTAGGATTTTTAGTACATCCTTACAATCACAGTCCCGTTTTCGTTGAGGGCTTTCTCCAACATCCACTTTAATTTCCTCCTAAAAAGATTTGCGTTTATGCACATCATAAAGGTGATAAATGTGTTGACAGTTTGGTGCAGGTCTTGTCTATTCATAATTTCCTGAAATGATCCTGAGACTTCTCCGTTTATTCCTCCTGCTCTCCATTAGCTCCCAGAGTGTGCATAATCTGAAGTTTTCTTTTCATTACCAGGAAAAAGAATAGGTTAGAGAGAGAGACTTGTGAATGCAGTTGTATTTTTCATTTTCCTCTCAGCCTCCCTCATCCTTCTGCCAAAAGCTCCCCATAATGTGCATATCCAGAGCGGTTAAAGGAAAAGCAAATATTGATTGTCTCGGGCTAAGGCGAAGCAGTGAGACAGATGGAGCCACATCATCATATTGAAGCAGAAAGGTCAGGAGTGAGCTGCAGAGTGCTTCAATTCACCAGGGCTCAAAGAACAGGGATTGCTGCTGCTGACAGATTTGTTAGAAACCTGTTTAGCTGCCACAAATATGGAATCTATCCAAACAGAAGCATCTATCATTGTTGGACTTATAACCCCAAATACTTTTGTTTCTTGTTTGCCTTTTCTCATTCTTACTTTTGACCCACACAGCCTTTGGACTCAGCCTGAACATCATTTGATTTTTATGGTTGGCTTCTTTAGCTTTTAGTGCAATTTCAGTGGCTCAGTTACTAAATCAAACCCCCTGTGGTTGTGCTTGCATGTGTTCCACAGGCTCCTTGAATGTGCCACATGACTTGGAGGCCCGTTTCTACTTTAGTTTTTGCATTTGGGATCAACAAATCCTTTTGATTTCCACCTTCTTTGTGAAGTTAGTGCTGTTGCATCTGCACAGACTGTTTGAATTTAGCAGTACAGAAACAAAGATGAAAACATTCTGCCTGGAGCAAAACCAGTGTCAAATATTCCTGCTTGGCTGTCCTTGTTGTCGGGACATCTTCATGTGGCATTGCTGAGACAGCTCTGATGGGTGTCTCTATCAGAGCTCTCACTTAATTATGTCTTTTCTTGTTTCCTTTTCCCTCCTCTTTCCTTAGAGAACTCTAAAAATTATCCTTTGGGGTGTTTAGGAGTGTGGGGAGGTTCCTTAACACACACTGTGATGGTTTCTTTTCTCTAAGGTCACCTAGAAGAGGAATCTCCCCACTGAGCATTTACTGCCTCATAATCAGACAAGGATTTGCTGGATTAACCCTCTCAATATTTTGGCTCCCTTTCCCTGTTTCTGTCTCAACAGCAGCGAGGAGTTGGCTGCACTAACAGGGGTACAGATTGAGTATAGCAGTGGCCAAAGTGGATGCTTATGTTAAATGGCATTAAATAATGGAATATTTCCCATGCCTTTGCAGCAGCCCCTTGGGGTGGCAGTGGCACAGCTCTGCTGGGGCCATCCCAGCCCCAGCAGCCACTCAGCCCCAGGGCAGAAAGGACACCTGGAGGGAACTTCAAAAAAGGAGAGAGAAAACTGGGAGTTGTTCAGTGTTCCCTCCTTGAGCAGGAGCAGCTGGGAGCCTGGAACCTCCTGATGGGGCCACACTTCCAATTCTTCGTGATTTCCTGATGGGGCCACACTTCCAACTCCTTGGGATCTCCTGATGGGGCCACACTTCCAACTCTTTGGGATTTCCTGATGGGGCCACATTTCCAACTCCTTGGATTTCCTGATGGGGCCACACTTCCAACTCTTTGGGATCTCCTGATGGGGCCACACTTCCAACTCTTTGGGATTTCCTGATGGGGCCACATTTCCAACTCTTTGGGATTTCCTGATGGGGCCACATTTCCAACTCTTTGGGATTTCCTGATGGGGCCACATTTCCAACTCTTTGGGATTTCCTGATGGGGCCACACTTCCAACTCTTTGGGATTTCCTGATGGGGCCACATTTCCAACTCTTTGGGATCTCCTCATGGGGCCACATTTCCACCTCTTTGGGATTTCCTGATGGAGCCACACTTCCAACTCTTTGGGATCTCCTGATGGGGCCACACTTCCAACTCTTTGGGATCTCCTGATGGGGCCACACTTCCAACTCTTTGGGATCTCCTGATGGGGCAACACTTCCAACTCTTTGGGATTTCCTGATGGAGCCACATTTCCAACTCCTTGGGATCTCCTGATGGGGCCACTTCCAGCTCTTCCCTGGCCATGTCCATTGCCCAGGGAGGGTTGGGGTGAGGGAGCCCAGCAGGGCTGGTGCCCCCTGCCCCACCAGCAGCCCCAGGAGCCCATCCCGAGGGAGGGAGGGAGGGATGGGAGCCCTGACCTGCAGGAAAAGCTGCCTGTGCCCCGTGGGTGTGAGCAGAGCTGCCCAGGGTGGGGTCTGGCAGGTGAGGTTCTGTCCTGGGGCTGGGGCAGCCGGGGAGCCCAGGGCTGTGTCCTGGCCACAGCTGGGAAGAGGCTGCCCAGAGAGCCCAGCACATCTGTCAGCTCATTGTCTGCACCCAGCGCAGAACAAAGAGCACAACAACAGAAGAAATGCAAAATGCATTTAAAAATACCCTTTCATTTCCCTTTTGCCAGAAGCAGAAGTGCTTAAATAACAGAGGACAAAAGCAGCTCTTGCAGAACTTCCAAGAGTCGGGAAAAATAAAAAGCCCTGTGAGAAGGATTTGGTTTAGGAGATTTCCCCCCTCATCCTGCCCAGTCTGGGGAACCCCAAAGCAGGCAGAGCTGCTCCCCCTAAAGCAGACAGCAGCTCCTGGCTGCAGCATTCCCAGTCCATCAGGTCCTTGGGATATCTGTTCCCTGGCCATCTTAAAAGCAAGTTTTCAGAAAGGTATGAAGCCATTTCCACCCCCCCCCCCCCCAATCAGTACTTTCCTTCTGCAAATTGCTTAGCTAAAAGGTTCTCCATACAGGGGATCAAATTTTATTTTCCTCTCTAAATACAACTTGTGTAACTCAGGGTGGAGATGAGCTGCATGGGTGCAGTTGGTAAGGGCAGCAGAGCTTGCAGTGGCTCAGGGTAGGTAGGGCTGTCCCACATGCAGTGCAGTGCTCCTGCACTGAGTACAGTGAATATTTGGTGCTTTACCATGGCTCTAGGGCTCTCAGTGGCATTCTGTGGGAATCCAAGTGGTCTTGGCTTAAAGCAGCAGAAAGTTTGCTGAGCTGCTGACCCAGTGTGCCCATTCACCACGTACGTGACCTCCTGATGCCCTCCACCAGTCAGGCTGGACTCAGGCCCGCTAAAAAGCAGATGTTGCACCTGTGCTAAATATTTCATTCCTCAGCTTGGCTAATTTCTACATAAACATTGAATTTTAATATGTATGTAAGCTCTTTCCTGGCGAGAGAAGTGTTCAGTGATGTGTTTAAATCAAATGCTGCTGCTTTTGGTTAGGACTGGGAAGGTGCTTGAAATAAAGTCCATTTTGAGAGCTTTGCTAACTGAATGCCTTTGATTTGTCTCTCTATTTTTTTTTTTTTAACTGAATGCCCTTGATTTGTCTCTCTCTTTGATTAACTTCTATGATTAAAAAAAAAAAAAAACCACAATGAGGTTAATGTTGTGATATTCTTCTAGATGGGCAGCAGATCTGGGAAATGGAGGCAACAGTGGACAAAGACAAGAGCCAGCCCGTAAGTATGGACCACTGGGTGTCCTCTCCTGCAGCTGCAGTGCACAGCTTGTGCTCCAGGGGAGCTTCCAGGAGCAGAGAGAGCAGCAATGCCCCTGAGCAAGTGGCAAATGCTGCAGCAGTGCCTGTGCTGCAGGAAGCAGCGATTGCTGCAGCAGTAACCCCCAGGGCAGCCACAGCTGGGTTCTGTCCTGTGCCAGCCCAGGCTCTGCAGCTGCTGCCTCCTGTGCCAGCCCTGGCTGCTGGGTCCCAGTCCAGGTCTGTTCTGCAGGGTTTCCAGTGCTCTTTGGGGGGACAGAGCCCCTCTGCTCCCTTGGCTTGCTTGGGCAGCAGAGCTCTCAGGAGCCAGCAGTGGCACTGCCATGGGCAGTGCCTGCCCGGGAGGCAGCGGGGATAAATCAAAACCTACAGAATAATTGAGTTATTCCGACAAAAAGAGGGAATTCTGCAGCGCACGCTCCTTTATCAAGCACTGTGGGATTAGCAGAGCTTCTGCATTTGTCACCATTTCATGTTTTATTTGTAGCTGAGACTTCTCCCTCCAAGTTCAGGACAGCACCAAGTGCAGGAGGGATACAGTCCATAGAAACCAACTTGTCAGTACCAAAAATCTTCTGGTCTTTCACCATCTGCCCCTTTTCTCTCATACCCTTCTTTACAGGGGTGAATAGGGAGATTCCTCTTGTGGAGGCATAGCAAGGGAGCTGCACACAAACCCTGGCCAGCCCCAGGTGCTCATCCCTTCCTGTGCCCTGTGTTATTTATTTCAGAGCATGCTTTTTGTGGAAATACCCGAGTACAGGAACAAGCACATCCGCACGGCCGTGAAGGTGAATTTCTATGTCATCAATGGCAAAAGGAAAAGAAGCCAGCCCCAGCACTTCACCTATCACCCAGGTAATCCTCAGGGACAGAGCCACTTGTTGTCTTAGTTCATGAGCAGGATTTGATTTTCTGCTCTGTTGTTTTCTTGCTGTTCTGTGAGGATATAAACGTTGCTAATTTAATTCAGCACTCGACAGCTGCTTGGTTTAAAAGATGCCTGTGATTTATGGTGAGGAATTTCCATCAGTTTGGGGTGTCAGTTATCTGTTATTTTGGCAATGGGCTGATGCTGCCCCATTCACTTGGTGGAAGTTGGCCAAGAGTCTCAGTGGGAACAGGCTCAGTCTGGGACATGGTGTGACCCTCAGAAAACCATGAGTGTTGCCTTCTCTGACGTGTCCAGCAATAAGAAAACATCAGATCTGGGAAAGGGCTTGGGATGGAGGAAGGCAAGCAATATATATTCTTCAGAGTGAGGCTAGCTGAGAAAAATAGAAATGCTTTTGTGATGTTCTTCCTCTGGGGGATTGGTGAGCCGTGTCACAATAAATATAACAGGATTACTAATGAGATTCCCAGAATTTCTCAGCTTTGGCTGGGGGGAAATATTGTGAGAAAATCAGAGTATTGTGTTTGTGGAAAGCAATGAGCATAAAATAACAGCACCAGATTTTATGCAAGCTTCAAATGATGTCTTAATTTGACTTGTCTCTAAGGAAAGGCAGACATTCGTTCAGACTCTTATTTTGCTCCTCTCCAGCCTGAAAATCTCTGGTCCTCTCCCTGAATTTATGAACTCAATAGGGTATCACCAATGTAAAGGGTTTGTACAGTTGCTAAATTGTTCTGCTCTGGAGCAGTATTGAGAAGCACACTTATATCTAAATACAATCCCTAAAACAGACCACTTAGGAGAAGGAATCTTTACTTCCAGGCAGGAATTTTGCATGACCACTGTATGGTTTCCGTTGTGCGGTGTTTCTGTAGAGAGTTTTGGGGAATATGTGACAAAAAAATCATTGGAAATGTAGAGGACCATCATTTACCCCACCAGGATTCATACAACCCTTACTAAATCATGGTCTTTTAAATGATGGTGTCAGACAGGTCTTCAGCTCTCAGCACTGGGGAAACTTTGTGCAGCAGAGACAAAACTCTAAAATAGTTCAGCTCTGCCTTTGGTCACTTGTTAAATGTTTGGCAGAAAGATGGGGAGTTGTTTATGTCCTGGGATTTCTGTTGATTCAGTCTCCTTTGAGATGGAAGTACTGCACAAAACACCTGTCTATGACTTCTTATTTTGTCTGTGTTCCAGAATGGCCCTTAAATGAATTGAAACAGGAGCTGAAGTGTTGAATTTTTCAATGTTAGCAATTTGTGGTTCACTAGTACATTAAAGATTTTTCAAGAATCTCTTAGCACAGAGTGCTTTGAAGAATCTTTGCCATGTTGCATGTGGGTGATTTATTAAACTTAGTGTTTGTGACTTATGAATTTACGCACACAAATCTTGTAAAAGGCTTAAATCTCTTATTGCTTCAAGGAAAACCTCTCTGTTTCTCCTCAGCTCGTTACGAATAACGTCCTTTGCATGCTTTATTCTAGTACCATCCATCAAAACAGAGCCCATTGATGACTATGATCCAGCCCTAATCTGCAGTGCAGTGCACAGTGCTCTGGGGACTGTAACACAGCCTTACTATTCACAGCACACAATGGCCACCGAGTCCCCTTCCTGCCTGGTGGCCACCATGGCTCCTTGCCAGCAGCTGCGCTCGGGCCTCTCCTCTCCCGACTCGCGGTACCAGCAGCAGAGCCCGGCCGTCATTTACCAAAGGAGCAAGAGCCTGAGCCCCAGCCAGCTGGGCTACCAGCAGCCGGGCCTGGTGGCCGCTGCCGTGGCGGACGCCCACCGCTCGGTGCTGGTGCACGCCGCGTCCCCGGCGCAGAGCGCGGCCGTGCTGCAGCCCTCCCCGGGCCAGCAGCAGCAGCAGCCTGCCCCCGTCATCCACTACTCGCCAACCAGCCAGCAGCTGAGGTGTGGCAGCCACCAGGAGTTCCAGCACATCATGTGCTGTGAGAATTTCCCCGCCGGCGCGGCCAGGCCCCAGGCCAGCCCGGCGCAGAGGCTCAGCCCCGGCTCCTACCCCGGCGTCATCCAGCAGCAGGCGGCCCCGGGCCCGCGGGCGGCCAAGAACGGGCCGGGCAGCGAGCAGAAGGACGTGCTGCCCGCAGGAGTGACCATCAAGCAGGAGCAGAACCTGGACCAGGCCTACCTGGACGATGGTAAGCGCTGTGCCCCGCTCAGGGCGGCTTTGTTGGAGGGAGGGGTGAGCTTAGAGCTCTCAGTGTTCCTCACCGTGGTCCCCTTTGCTGGGGGGGACATCTGCTGTGTCAGGCTGGATTTGGGAACTTCATGAGGTGCGTTTTTGGCTGGTGGCAAAGCACTTTGGCCACTCACCCACAGGACCCCTCTGCTTGCTCCGTGCCACGGGCTCAGCTGCCACGTTGAGCTGGTCCCATTTTGTCTCCCTTTGCCAAAGGTTCCATCGCCAGTTTGGGAAATGGCAGATCTGAAATGACACGCGCTTCTTAATTATTTTATTATATTTCTTCGTATCAGGGCAAAGTCCACTTTGTAAAATGCTCTTGTACATTTTGTACCAAAAAAAAAGCCCATTGAGCAATCTATCGAGGCCTGTAATGAATGGGGTAGTGCTGCAGGCAAAACCATTGCAGATGTTCTAGATGAACAGTGGGACATTGATAAGTTAAACAGTGCTGTTCCTTTGCTGTGAGCCAGCTGATTTAGCCTTTAGGAATGAACATAAGTTAGAGTAAAGCTTTCTTTGAACGTATCCTGCTTATTCTTAGGTAGGCAGCTCTTGGCAGTCTGGTGGATTGGTTCTTTTATTAAAGCATGTTTCTGGCAGGAGGAAATCAATGCAAAATTAATAGTGCAGCTGGACACTGCAATCACAGAGAGCAGCAGCAAACCCAACACTGATTTTAGTGGGAGCAGAGTGAGGCTGCTGGAAATACTGCTGGAAATGCAGGATGTTCCTGTGCAGGACGTGCAGACTGATTGTCACAAATGGGAACTCTGCTCTCCTCTCAGTGCGGGCAGTGGCAGGCTCCATCTCCTGGGTGTGCTCCAGGATGTGCTCCAAGCACCCAGCAGTTTGGGATTGTTCCTGCACTTACCTGCAGTTGTGAAATTGTGCCTGTGAAAGTTCTGCTCTCCTCAGCTTGGGTCCTGAGTGCTCTGTGTGGTGTGCAGCCTTCGCTGCTGGCTTTGTGGGCAGAGTTTGGACGGTTTCCTCTCTTAGCTGTGTTTGCAGAGTGGTTGATGCAGCTTTGGTGCCATCGCAGTAAAATCTGGAGGGTTTTTACTGGTTCCCTTCTCTGGGCAGGAGATTCAGGAGTAAATTTAACTTGGGAGATTCACTTTTCGTTCAGGGAATTGGGTATGATAACAAAGCAAGAGAATCTTTCTGACAGGAGAACTAAACGCTGTTATTTAGGGTAATTTTAATATGAGAAGCTGAGAGATTCTTCCACATTTTTAAAAATTCTTGGTACACACCTTGTAAAAGAAAGAAAAGTGAAAGCTTTTACTTCAAGATTCTATCTTCAAAGTCAAGCTGTAGTCCACGTAAAAGAGCTCCCAGTGTAGACTGCAAAGTTAATTCTCCTGGTTTTGAACCAGGCCAGTGACACCCAAGGGCAGCACAGCTCTCCAGGAATGCACTCAGCCTCGCTGCTGAGGGAGCCAGCAGGCAGGACAGCAGCAGCTCAGAGGGAAATCCAGGCTGCTCCTTGGTTCATCTTGCTTGCAGCTGGAGATTGCTTTATCAGTCCTGCCACCCAAGTCAGGCCAGGCAGGATGGGCCACGTGCAGCCTCTGTACTGACCTCAGTGATCTGACATCAGCTGGAAGTGTGACTTGGGGAATTCTGATTTACTTTAGCGCTTTGCAAAGCGTTTTCATTCTGAAACGTTCAGGACTTGAATTGAAAAGCCGCATTGTTTGCTGCTGGGGAAAAGTGACTCAGAACATAACAAAAGCCATGTTTTTCCTGACTAGAAAGTTTGGGTTTGTGCTTTATAGTATTAAAAGAAAGCAAACCTAAAGGATTATGGAGGCTTTGCCCTTAAATCCCCTTTATCCAGAAAGCTCTTGTGAGATGAAGTGAGCTGTGAGGTCCTGCAGTGATTTCCACGGGCAGACACGGAGCTGCTGCTGGCCCAGGCAGCCTTGGCATGAGCCAGCTGCTGCTGCTGCTGCTGGGCTCTTGGGCAATCACTGCTGGTGCCTCTCACTTCCCTTTGCTCTTCCTGCCTTCCCCCATCTTCCTCCTCCCCCTGCCTTGTTCTCCTTTCTCCAGAGTTCTGCTGACATCCAGCTTTCGTCCCTTGGCTCTCGTGGCCTCCTCTCACCAGCCTTGCCCGCTGCCTCCATGGTTAACCCACAGCCTTGGTGTTCTGGGCTTTGTTCCTATTCTCAGCTTTGCCACAAACTGTGCAGTGACCTGGCATGGCAATTCCTCGTTCCTGGAGCTGGTGCCTCTCAGAGTGGGCATGCTGAGAGTGCTGGGGCTGTCCTGGCAGTGACCAGAGCAGAGCATCCCACAGTGACACCCTTGTCATTGCCTCTCTCAGCTCCCTGCAGTCCCTGCTGGCATTGTCTTCTCCTCCTCCCTGCTGTAACAAGATGTTATTTGTCCTTCCTGAGCCCATGGCTTGGCTTTGCTCAGAGCCTTCAGCGCTCCACAGGGCACAAACACAGGAACTCAGCACATTTAACCTGTCTTGAAAAGATGAGAGCTGTTCCCCCCTCTGCAAGAGGATTCCAGGCCTGTGAGCTCTCGAGGCTGGGTGCAGCCAAACCAGCCTGGAGCCCAAGGCAGGTGACGGCAAGGATTTACCATCTGCTGATGGGTTTTGCTGAGTTCAGGAGAGCTTGGTCTCCAGCTGGTGCCCTCCCCAGCCCCTTGGTGATGGTTTCAGCAGAGCTGTAGCTGGTTTCTGGCCCTGCTGCAGATGTGCAGAGCTGCCACTTGCTTTCTGGAAGGAGACACTGGCCCCTGTGCTCGGGGAGGAGGTGCCCAGCCCAGCCTGGGCTGCCTCTGCAGCTTCCCAGCCTTCCCCTCCCAGCCAGAAAGACAAACCAGGCTCCCAGGAAGGAAGGCTGCACCACCCAGTCAGGGTGGATTTGGATATGCACCCATCAGGGACTGATGCAAGTCCAGCATTGCCACACATTGCCTTCACACACCTACTCCTCCGTGTTTCTCTGTGAAATCCATATATCTGTAACTTTCTGATAGCAAATGCTGGGAGGAATCCCCAGAGGAGGGGACTGTTCATGAAACATGGCCAGGGAAACCTGTGTTACACACCTCAGCCTCAGAGATTCATTTCTGCTGGAATGACTTTGGGGTGAGGAGAGTGTCAGGAGTGTCCCTGAGTGTCAGGAGACCCTTGAGGATACATCAGGTGTCCAGGCCCTGCTGGCAGGCAGGGATCAGCCTCAAATGATCAGCATCTGCAAGTGAAAGCCATGGGGTGACAGAGTGATAAGCTCCTTTCAGCCGAGGCCTCATCTTAATATTATTCATAACCAAACCGCCCACAAAGGTAAAAGTTACCCAAACAATCACATAAATATGTTGACAAACAGAATGTAGTTCCTCCAGTGCCCTCAGAGCACTGAGATTAACCCTTTACAGCACAAAGCCAGCTCAGAATGCAGTTCTTGGCAGCACTGTCTGCAGTCCCTGGTGGGGCAGGGGCGAGGGGGTGACCAGGGCTGGGGCACTGACTGTGCTCCTCCTGCAGAGCCACTGGGCTCCTGTGCAGCTCCTGTGCAGCTCCTGTGCAGTTCCCCAGCTGGGACACAGACACGAGGCTCAATTCCACGCACAGATCATGGCTGTGCACTCATGCTTGTGGAGCTTGAGCGTTATCAGCCTGCCCGCCTTAGATTGAGATCTTTTCAGTTCAGCTGTCAGGCTGAACTTTGCAAAGAAAAATGATTGTCATTGTTCAAATAGTAACTGTCTAACCACATCTGACACGCCGAAGTCTCTGCTGGATACAGCAGCTCTAAATTATTTTTGGTGCACAGTGATCTCCTCTGGGGAGGAGAGGAGCGAGGTTAGGCAGAGGCTGTGTCGTGGTTTATCAGGCTGCAGATCAGCAGAGATGGTTTATAGTGAGCTCAGGTATTTTGCAGAAAACTCCAGGCCTCAGATATTTCTTTAGAAAGCGGCTGTGCAGGATGTGCAGTGTGGTCCTCACGTCACCCAGCATCCAGATCACCTCCATGACAAGCTGCGTGCTCCCTTGTGCAGGTTTGCTCATCCAGCAGCACTCAGGGTGTTACATCCCTGCATTTCCTTCCTGTGTTCTTTCACTGAACAGCAAGAAAACCCTCAGCACTGTGCCATGAAATCCACATCCCTCTTTCCTTCACCTCCAGCAGGAAGCTTTCTCTTCTGGCCAGCTCTGTTCTCCTTGGGCAGGGAGACATGTCCACATCCCTCTTCCCTTCACCTCCAGCCGGAAGCTTTCTCTTCTGGCCAGCTCTGTCCTCCTTGGGCAGGGAACAGAGGAAGTTTCTCCTCCAGGACACCCTGTCAGAGCCCGGAGTGCTGCTGCCAGCCCGTCCTGGGGGCTGTGGCTGGGTGCTGGCACGTCCTGGGCACCCTGCTGGCCCTGCTGTGGGTCAGGGCTGGCACAGGCAGCTCCTGCCAGCCAGGGCTTCCAGAGAGAGCCCCTCTGAGCCCTGAGCTGCACTGGCAGGGCCAGGGGCTGGAGAGCAGCTGCTTTTCTCCCTGAACCTGGCTTGAGCCCGTGCACAGGCGGCACAGAGGGTGCTGGCTCCAGGGACACGTTTTGGGTTGGTTTGTAGTTGTTTGCATCTCGTGTCCACACACGGACTTAAGTATCAAGACGGGGCAGAGGGGACTGTTCTTGTTTCCTGGCATTTTACACAGGGGTGAATTTGAGTCCTACAGATGGGCCAGGGTTCACTTTCGAGCAGCTATTTGCACCGAAAAAAGCCATGCTCTGTTTTGAATTAGAACTCCTTTTCGTAGAAGGTGTGGTCATTTCTGCTCAGGCAGAATTTGACTAAGAGTTAAGCCTGTATGTTCTCCAAAACATTTTGCTCAAACACTCTAGCAAATCTCTGTATTCGTCAGGCTCATTCCTGAAGCTCTGACTCACATTATTACAGATTTTCTGTTCTCTGCTGGGACCTTGCAGCACTCCCTCAGTAC